CTCTCTCGGCCTAACCGACCTCAAAGGATCGTCGTTACGAGGATAAAAAGGGAGGATAGGCAGGGGTCGTTTCGTAGAAAAAGAGCTAGGGGAACTCATTAGCATAACTCATTAGCATATGCCACACCCCCTGACATCACCGGAAGTGTGTCATAAGGCCACTCACCCCGCCCCCAACGGTCCCGGCCGTCGGTGCCGAGCCCCATGAGGGGCCCGGCGGTGGACCTGCAAGGTCGGCGGGAGTGCAAGGAAGCCCCACGAAGGCCCTCCCTGGCCCCAGGCAGGCAGGCAGGGGTGGGGAGAGGCAGGGAGGAAGCAACTTACCCTCCCTCTTCTCCTGCCTCCTCCTGGCTGAATGAGGGCCGGAAGCGGGGCGGCCGGAAGCAGGGGGTGGGGCTTCGTCATGTGCCCCGCCCTCCGTACCTCACCCGGGGGAACTGTGATCCCCCGCGTTCCCCCCCCGAAATGACCTCTGGCTGGTTCCCTGTGCTGATTCTGCCCTCCTTAGGACTGTGTTATTAATCGTTCTGTTCTGTATTACTTTAGTATGACAAAAATTCCACTCTGTATTTGTGATCATTAAGTTGCATTGAAATTTCCACTTCCTGAAAAGGGTGCATTAACGGTTGAGGGAGAACCTATCTTTTCCTGTCTGTGACCTTTATGAGTAATATGGGGTGCTTAAAGATAGTGAAGGAGTATCTACATTATGTCTCATGGAGCATGTATCTCATGTAGCAAGTAGGGTAGAAACTGAAATGACCTTTGTTCCCAACACTTAGATAGCTTAGCCAATGTCAACAATTTAGATAACACGTCTGGATAACCCTTAGTCCTTCCATTATTGTGAATAAATAGATTGTTTTGGAATTCATCTGTCCAGTTCCATTTCTGTTTGTAGTTTTCCTCCTCGTTATATCATCATGTTGACCCCTTAATCTCTTGGGCTGTTAGCACCAAGAAGATAGAGCATCACTTGCCCCAGAGTCCCTATCTATACCTTGTGGCTAATAGCCACTGATGGACCTCTGCTCCATATGCTTATCTAATTCTCTTTTGAAGCCGTCCATGCTTGTAGCCGCCACCCCCTCCTGTGGCAGTGAATTCCATGTGTTAATCACTCTTTGGGTGAAGAAGTACTTCCTTTTATCTGTTCTAACCCGACCGCTCAGCAATTTCATGGAGTGCCCACGAGTTCTTGTATTGTGAGAAAGGGAGAAAAGTACATCTTTCTCTACCTGCTCTTTCCCATGCATAATCTTATAACCCTCGATCATGTCACCCCTCGGTCGTCGTTCCTCCAAGCTAAAGAGCCCTAAGCGCTTTAACCTTTCCTTCTAGGGAAAGTGTTCCAACCCTTTTATCATTCGAGTTGCCCTTTTCTGCAGTTTTTCCAAAGCTATAATATCCTTTTTGAGGTATGGTTCCACTGCTAATTTCATTTCTGGGGCACATAGCTGGGAGTATCTCTAGCAAGCGAAGCTTCCAAGTCTGGCTCCTTCCATAAGGGCAGAGAGAGGAAGAGGGCTTTTGATACTTGTGAAAGGGATCCTGGCTCAGGCCAAAAGTCTGCAAGCCTACTAGCGGCCTGTGGTGGCAGCAGAGAGAACAGAGAAAGGGTGGAAGGATAAACTGGGAGAGGGGGGAAAATCCCCGTGGGGGGGTCGAATGGCTCCAGAGAACGCAAGGAGCGTCAATCCCTCATTCCCCAAGGTTTGCGGTTCCGCAGGGCCTGCGAGACGGAGCTCTTCCACCAGGCTTTCGACTAAGGAGCCGCCCTCACTATTACCACCAGCGAGCCCGGCCCTCTGCCTTAACATCTGCCTCGTGCCACTGAGTGACTTGGGAAGACCACTGAGCTGGAAACTGTCTGTTTACAGACATCTTTAGAACGCCACCTTAAGTAGCTGAATGAGCACTAGAGTGCCTTATGATTTTATGATGTTATTTGTATTGAATGGTTTTAACTGATTGTAGGTGTTTTTACTGGTAATTCTGTCCCAACTGTGTAAGCCGCCCCGAGCCTGTTCGTGGGGAGGGCGGGGTACAGAATGAATGAATGAATGAATGAATGAATGAATGAATGAATGAATAAAAACAAAAGGGCTCAAGAGAAGAAGAAGAAGAAGAAGAAGAGATTGGATTTATAACCCGCCCTTCACTTGGAGTGTCAGAGCAGCTTACAAACTCCTCTCCCTTCCCCTCCCCACAACAGACACCCTGTGAGGTGGGTGGGGCTGAGAGAACTCTGACACAAACTGCTCTTTTTCAAGGACAGCTGTGCCAGAGCTTGTGACTGACCCAAGGTCACATCAGCAGCTGCAAGTGGAGGAGTGGGGAATCAAACCCGGTTCTCCCAGATTAGAGTCCGCGCACTTAACCACTACACCAAACTGGCTCTCAGGTGAAGAAGAAGAAGAGGAGGAGGAGGAGATTGGGTTTATACCCCGCCCTTCACTGCCCAAAGGTGTCTCAGAGCGGCTTACAAACTCCTTTCCCTTCCCCTCCCCACAACAGGCACCCTGTGAGCAGTGTTCCCTCTAAGCTGAGTTAGTGTAAGCTAGCTCACAGTTTTTTTTACCCTCCGGCTCACACATTTTTGTCTCAGCTCAGGAAGGATGGGGCTCCAGAGCAAACTGATTTATGCAGTAGCCAAATCACCTGCTCACAACTTCAATACTGGTGGCTCACAAAGTAGAATTTTTGCTCATGGGACTCCACAGCTTAGGGGGAGCATTGCCTGTGAGGTAGGTGGGGCTGAGAGAGCTCTTATCAGAGCGACGGCTTGCCCGAGGTCATCCAGCCAGGTGCGGGTGGAGGAGTGGGGGAATCAAACCCCGTTCTCCCAGATTAGAGTCCGCGCACTCAACCACGACACTGTGCTAGTTCTGGCAAAGCCCCTCCCTTCATGGAACTGCCTCCCCACGGAGGTGAGGGCAGCACCGTCCCTGGGAATTTTTAGCAGGCTCTGCAGGCACTATATTGTGCTTTGTCGCCTTGTTTGTTTACTTAACTTATTTATTTGGTATAGTTTGGTATAGTGGTTAAGTGCGCGGACTCTAATCTGGGAGAACCGGGTTTGAGTCCCCACTCCTCCACTTGCACCTGCTGATGTGACCTTGGGTCAGTCACAAGCTCTGGCACAGCTGTCCTTGAAAAAGAGCAGTTTGTGTCAGAGCTCTCTCAGCCCCACCCACCTCCCAGGGTGTCTGTTGTGGGGAGGGGAAGGGAAAGGAGTTTGTAAGCCGCTCTGAGACTCCCTTGGGTAGTGAAGGGCGGGGTATAAATCCAATCTCTTCTTCTCTTCTTCTTATAGTCCATCTTTCCCGTTGGGACTCAAGGCGGCCGACTCAGAGCGAGTCAATGCAGTCAACAGGGCGGGATGTTCAATAAGCAATGCAATAGGATCGGGGTTCTGGAACCAATCAGAAACCTCAAAAATAGAACTGAAGCAAAGCATAAATACGAACACGACACATCAAAGGATGCAAAGATGACATCACGCCCTGTACTGAACGATTCACAAAATTACTCGGATAAATTATTAGGGACTGTGGTCTACTCACTACTGCGTTTAGCTTGTCTAGTCTGGGGAGGAAGGAACTGGGGGTTTTATTGCCCTTTGACAATTTATTTATCAGCTTTATGTTGTCGGTGTATAAGTTTCAGCACCTAGATCTCCAGGATCTACTTGACAGCTGACAACTGTAATAATCCAGATACAGCCAGTTTGGACTGGGCAAAGCTGAAGCACAGTCAGCAGGAGTCAGCACTGTTCTGATTGGCTGGACATATGTATATATGTAGAAATGTACCACTGTATATTTCCCCCCTTGATGGTGGATGGAGTCTGGCGAGGCACTTTGTCTGAGAGCTGTATATATTGTAAATAAATTCCTGTACATAATTACCACTGGACTGAGTAAGTGTGGTTTACTATTGGAAGCCTCTGGTGAGAGAAAGACTGCTGTGAGTGCAAAACAGGTTCGAGGTGCTGGTTCACACAAACACACGCACTGCGCGACATATGTATGCTCTATCTTTCTCTCCCGGCAGGGACACAAAGTGGCTTACATCATTCTCCACTCCTCCATTTTATCCTGCCTTGAGCTACGGAGAAAGGCGGGATATAAATGTTTCGATAAATAATCACTCTTTGGTTGGCTGCCTGAGACCACAGAGCCGACTGTCGATCACAATACTGAGAGAGGCCCTGACCTGGACAGCCCAGGCAAGCCCGATCTCGTCAGATCACGGAAGAGAAGCAGGGCTGACCCTGGCAAGCACTTGGTAGGACGACCTCCAAGGAATATCAGGGCTGGGACGCAGAGTCAGGTTATCAAGCCACCTCTCTGAAACATCCTAGCCCCACTTGGGTGTCGCCAGAAGTCGCCATGAATTCCAGGCTCACAAACACATACACACAAACACACACACACACACACACACACACACAAAGAAAGAAAAACATGAGGAGGAGGAGGAGGAGACTGGATTTATACCCCGCCCTTCACTCGGCGTCTCAGAGCAGCTTACAATCTCCTTTCCCTTCCTCTCCCCACAATGGACATCCTGTGAGGTAGGTGGGGCTGAGAGAACTGCTCTTGAGAGAACAGCTTTGAGAGAACCTGTGACTGACCCAAGGTCACCCAGCTGGCTGCATGTGGAGGAGCGGGGGATCAAACCCAGTTCTCCAGATTAGAGTCCGCCGCTCTTAACCACTACCCCAAACTGGCGGTGGACCAATGGCCCGACTCAGTAGAGGGCGGCTTTTTGTGAGCTCTCTGCTACCAGTCCTCCGTAACAGACTTGCTTGAGGACTGTCCCACAAGGATGGACTTTCCCAAACACCCTCAAGTATACACCTACTTCGCACCTTGTGGCAATGAGTTCCACAAGTGAAAGGTGCTGCTAGCATCTTTCCTCTTCCCTCTCCTTGGCAAGGCTAATCTGGAAACGGGGCTACAAACGAGAGGCCAGAGAGACCTGTGCAGCTTTACCTGTCCTTTCCGGTCTCTTTCCTGAACAGGTTGTCAAACTGGTTCATGCGCTTGCTGGAAGCGACGAAAGCTGACATGTTGGGGAACGACGTGCTGACCCGCTGGATGACCTTGTTGAAGAGCTGCTGCATCCTGACGGGAGGCCCCCAGAAGATCAAGATGTTGTCCGGAGTCTTGTTGACAAACTCCTGCGGCCTCTTCAGGACCCTGTAGAGACTCGAATGGGCTACCACCCGGAAGGTGGTCTTGTTGCCAACATCTGCTTCGTACCCCGTGGTAGGAGCATCGTTCATGCGGACTGTGCACTCCGTCCGGTCGATTTCTGGACCCAGTTTGCTCCCAAGGAGGTGGCTGGAACTGGTGATAATGGCACACTGGTTGCAGTGACGGTCCAAGGTCTGGGAAGAGAGCAAAACTCATGTGCATCGATTGGCTACACAGGCAAGTTTCCCGGAAAAAGCAAACAGCGGCTCCCTGGGGACATTTCAGATGGGGAAAACAGCACAGCGGGGAAGGTTTATTTATTTATTTATTTATTTATTATTTATTAATCAGACTTATACCCCGCCCTCCCCCGTAGGGCTCAGGGCGGCTAACAAGGCAAGAAATCTTGCAACAGTAAAACATAATTCATATAGTTAAAACAATTATACAATCTAAAACCAATCCCAGTACAAATTTAAATTTAAAGTGCTCGTTGATCTTCATTTCCAAAAACCCCAAAGATGACGGGCCAAGTCCAGAGGTTCCCCATAGTCGTTCAGTGGATTCAACATTTATTCAGATGTTCAAGAATTCAGATGTTTCCTTCCTAGGGCCTCTTCCACCCCCCATGGTGACAACATAGCAGGGGGTGGGGGTGGGGCGGCGGCCCCTACTCGAAAGCCTGGTGGAAGAGCTCCGTCTTGCAGGCCCTGCGGAACTGCATCAGCTCCCTCCCTCCACGGACCTGTTCCATATTGGGCCCAGGCAAACCTAGGAAATAAGTTCTGAGCGGGGCTCTTTTTGTAGCAGGAACTCCTTTGCATATTAGGTGACACACACCCCTAACGTAGCCAATCCTCCAAGAGCTTACAGTTGCCCCTGTAAGAAGAGCTCTGTAAGCTCTTGGAGCATTGGCTACATTAGGGGTGTGTCGCCTAACATGCAAAGGAGTTCCTGCTACAAAAAGAGCCCTGATTCTGCACTGAACTCCCAGGGCACATCCGTAAATAGGACCTGAAGCAGACAGAAGAACTTCGTAACAGGCATTTATTTATTGCTTACAGTTTATTTCTTGGCTTCAGTTATACCCTGCTTTTTCTCCCCAATGTGGACTCAAAGTGGCCTTCTCCGTATGAACTTCATGACAACTCTGTGAGGCTGTGCAACTAGCCCCGGATCACAGAGGAGGAGGAGGAGGAGGAAAACGAGGAAGAGGAAGAAGAGGAGAACGAGAAGGAGGAAGAGGAAGAAGAGTTGGTTTTATACCCCACCCTTCACTCGGAGTCTCAGAGTGCCTTACAATCACCTTCCCTTCCTCCCCCCACAACAGACAACCTGTGAGGCAGATGGGGCTGAGAGGGCTCTGACATCAGCTATGCTGCTGCCCTGGCAGGTGGAAGGGGGATGGCGGCTGATGTATGGCCTGCTGGAATCTTAGCTTTCGTTGTCTTATCTGTTAGTCTGGGCCTGTGACCTTGGCAGAGCCCCCCAGTAGGTCCACTGTGGCGACAGGCCAGGCCAAGATGCCCTTTGGCCTCTTTCCTAAGGAGAAAGGGGGGGGCTCACCCTCCTGCAATATTTAAAGGGCCCTCCAGGTGATTGGCAGGCCATGTGCTCCCCGCCGATCAGCGGAAGGGCCCTTTAAGTCTTGCAGGAGGGGAGGGAGAGGGGTGGCTGCCGGCGGCTGGGCTTGGGGGTGGATTGGAGCTGACATAAAAATAGTGGCAGCCCCACCAGCCCCACCAGCAAAAGATTTTGCCCCACCAAGCCACAAAATCCTGGCTATGGGCCTGATCTTGGCTAGAGTCCTCCTTCCATCCAGCCCAACTTGTAGCCAGCTCTAGAAGCTTGTGGCCACTGAGACTGATAACTTCAGGCCCGTAGCTACCGTGGGGCCCGTGGGGCCCATGGGGCCCGCCCCTCCCCATGGTTTTTACGTGCCCCTCCCCAATCCTCGTCTCCCCCCCCCACATCTCTGCCCTCAGCCCAGCAGCCAGTGACTCCATGCCGCCTGCTGCTGCTCCTGGGTGCCTGCCTCCCTCATTCCCTGCCACGGCCAGCCGGGCTCCCGCGAGGAGGAGGAGGAGGAGGAGGCACCCGCACCCTGCTCTCTCTTTGCCTCCAGAATGCCTCCACCCGTCTGAGAGGCGACCCTTCCCCCAGAAACAATCCTGAGGAAGAGAGAAAGTGCGCGCAGAGCAGCCAGGAGGGAAAGCAGCAGGCAGCAGAAACTGCGGAGGTTTGCTTCGGAGGGTCGAAAATCCTCCTGATCTTTCTTTGGGATCGCAACCGGGAAGGCAAAGCTTCCCTCCCGATCCTACCCACTCACCTACCCCGGTCTCCAAAGAGCCAGCAGAGATCCGCTGGTCTGTTCAGCCAAGGTCAATTTCAATGCCCGGCTCTGGTCAGTTTCACTTCTCTTGCTCCTTGGCACCGCGTTCAGAGGAGCGATAGGCGACGAAGTTTTCTCCGTTCCCGAAGGGAGACTGGGATACAAGATCCCCACTAACCAAATGCGGCGCTGCTGGAGATTCCGACTGCGTCCGACGAAGGGGGCTCACGTCTTAGGAGTTCCACCAATTAAATTAAAGTTAATTTAATTAACTTTGATTTAATTGGCTGGTGCCCCCCCCCCAGGCCCCCTCCCCAAAAACTCATTAGCTACGGGGCTGGATAACTTTATCCAAATAGTTTTGAAAGCTGCCTCGAAGACCTAAATAAGGGGTATACAGGATATAAATCTTTGAACTGAATAAACATGTACATTTTCCCCACATGTTCCCCCAAGGGCACTACGGTCGGGGAACCAAAATCTCCTGGATGTTTCAGGCCCCAAGACCATCAAATTCGCGATGACCAGGGCTAGGGCGTTTTCGGTGGCGGCTCCTATCTGGTGGAACGAGCTCCCAGAGGAGATCCGGGCCCTGCGGGACCTCGTACAGTTCCACAGGGCCTGTAAGACGGAGCTCTTCCACCAGGCTTTCAAATAGGAGCCGCCACCACCACTGTTCCATCAACGCCCTATAATTTCCGCACATTGCCACCGCTGGTGCGGGTACCATCAGAGGGAGTGGGACGTGCTTAGGGGACAACAGTGGGGATATGCACTGTTAGGTAGCCATATCATCAAGAACACCATCTTGACTTTAACATTTGGAAGTGAGTAGGGGAGCACCGAAAATGTTTTTATGAACTCTGTTTAATTATTTAATTGTTTATTCTGTATTTTTAGTCAGTATTTTATTGTTTTATTGTTATTACTTGGCGTTATGCCTCTGTTAGCTGCCGTGAGCCTTCGGGGAGGGCGGGATATAAATCCAAATAAATAAATAAAATAATTTTTTTTAAAAAAGGTTCACTGTGCAAAGTCAATTGGGGAAATGGGGAAATGATAGCAGCTCTGGCACGTGAAAACCCCAAGTTTCATGTCTGCAAGAGAGGACGGGGTTCCCTAACAAGACATTTTTTTCCTTGTGCAGCTAAAAGTTCCAGACGCTCTGAGTACCTTGTTCCCAGCCACAGGGAGGTATCCGTTTTTCACTCCCCATTCCTTCAGGCTAGAAGGAAGAGGGATCTTTCCTCCCGAGGAGGTGTAGTGGAAGTCTTCACTCCTGCTGTTGGAGCTGTAGATGATCAGCAGCGTAACCAGACCGAACAGGATGAGAAAGACCGCGGCACGAGGACTCTGCAGGTGCAAAGAGAGAGGAAACGGCCAAAGATCAGGGAGGTGAAACAGCCCAGCACCTGGTGACACCCGTGTGGCTCCCAGACAGATTTCACACATATTTCGACCTGCACGTGTGAACGTCAGAAAAGCAGTTTTAACTCCCCTTACGGGAGGGTTTCTAACACCAACCACAGTCATATAGGAAGACACATTTACAAGTGCATTTCAACTTCTGTGCATTTTTGCTGTCACCTGTTGTTCCAGGTTTGAAGAAATCCCAAGGAAACAATATGTGAGATCCAAGTCTGCTTACAAGGAAATTTTTGATAAAGCACCAAAGTTACAGAAAATGTAACTCTAAGCTTCAATCAGCTGCGCCTCGAGTGAGCACACACACAGCGAAACTTAGCCAAACCTCAAGACTACAGGCATAACTAAAACTACACACCTTATGCAATAAATGCTGTCTACCAGTCAAATAATCATTAATTAAGCTATCCTAAACACTTGGACGGGCCAGGTCAACTTGCAAGAAACAACCTAGGCTGGTAACAAGCATGAAAGAGAGGACACTTCCCTTGGAAGCAGCTAAATACCATCCTCTCACAAGACTGAGGGGCAACTAAGCACCAGCATGTAAGAAGGATGGAGTTACGCAGGCCATAAACCTGTGAACAGATGTATTCTGTCCACCCACTAGGAAATCTGCATGTTTCAGAATGACTTTTTCACATTTTCACCTCTTTTATCAGTTTGGTGTAGTAGTTAGGAGCGTGGACTCTAATCTGCGAGAAACGGGTTTGATTCTCCACTCCTCCAGCTGCTGGTGTGACCTTGGGTCAGTCACAAGTTCTTTCAGAGCTGTTCTCACACGAGCAGTCCTCAAAAGGGCTCTCAGCCCCACCTACCTCACACAGGGAGTCTGTTGTGGGGAGGAGAAGGGAAAGGAGATTGTAAGCCGCTCTGAGACTCCTTCAGGTAGTGAAGGGCGGGGTATAAAGCCAATATCTCTTCCCCCTCTTCTTCTTCTATATGAGGAAAGGGCTTGCAAATATCACAATATCACTGATTCCTAATTTCCTTCTCCTTCCCTTTCCCCCTCCTTTCGGTCCATTCTCCCATGAAACTGACATGGTTTCAGCAAAGTTTTGACCATTTCCTCAAGGTTTGAAAAATACCGCTACTTCATGGAAGTAAAAAACACACACACAATAACCAATAAGTAAATCCAGTCACCATCTTCGGCTTTTACAACTTCACTTTCAATTACCGTCACTACACATCTGCAGCATTCACTTTGCAGCGCCTTAAGTGACTTCTCTGTGCTGTGCTAGCTTTACACATTGCTTTGGAACTCTAATCAAAGACGCTAGCCCAACAACATACACAAAAGTTACCATTCTACCAAAAAAAAAAAGTTACGAACACACCTGCCCACACATACTCTATGGCCCCGATCACACGGGAGGTTTTGGCCCGGAAGAGGGACGGATCGGGGGTGCAGCAAACGGGCGCGATCCCACCGCAACATCTGGGAATTGACGCGCACCCGTTCCCAATCCGTCCCTTCAGAACGAAAATGCGGTGCAAAAAAGAACCTACTAGCTGGTAGGACTTACCTGAAGCACCGCAGCAAGCGCGGCCGTGAGATCGCCGGCGCGCTCGTCTGCAGGAGCAATTGAGGCTCCCGGCCAATCTGCGCACACGTACACATGCGCAGTTCGGCTGCCCGCTCTCCTTTCAGTGGCTTCCCCCCGGCATCTGATCGTGCCGGGGAGGAACTGTGCGGCGTCTCAGGGGATCTGTGTGATCCCGCCGCCACGTGTCTCTTTTGAGGCGGCTTTGAAAAGCCGCACTTTGGCCGTACTCCCCCCCCCCCCGTGTGGCAGGGGCCTTAGTTGTTTAGGGCATATTGTTAGGGCATATTGATGACACAACGAAATCAGGCCAGCCTAGCAGACAAGCTCCCTAAAACAATGAGCCCAGAAAAGCTGAACCTACAAACTTTTATTATTGCATGGAAGGAAAGCAGTCTCCAGTCTCAGACTTCAGAAGCATGTGCTTTCTTACTCAGTATCCAGCAACGATGCACATACAACACCACTGGCTACATTGCCTCTACCTTCCCAGGAGCTCCAACGCATATCAATGTTTTAGTGCTAGTGCACTAGGGCAGGAACCTCGGATGCACTCCGGAGAGCCTGCTGTGCTCTTTTGGCGGGATTAAGCACATGACTGTTGTTTTTAAATCACAGAAGCATTATGGTTTCTCCGGATGTTATGCACGGTCTGAGCCATTTGCGCTTCTATGGCTTTGTCACTCCCCAGCGCTTGGGTTGTCTCTCTATTCCAGTTCCATCGGTGGCTTAGCCAGGTTGACACTGAATCAGAGCAATAAATAATTAACCCACAAATGGAAAGTAGGAAGCACCAGAGAGAAACATGCAAGCTAGGCATGAAATCCGGCCAACCTGAGCACTGAGAAAATTAAAAGGTAATAAGAGCATAAGAGAAGCCAGTGCTGGATCAGGCCAATGGCCCATCCAGTCCAACACTCTGTCACACAGTGGCCAGAAATACCAGGTGTCATCAGGAGGTCCATCAGTGGGGCCAGGACACTAGAAGCCCTCTCACTGTTGCCCCCCCCCCGCCCAAGCACCAAGCACAAATGCGAACTTTTCACCCCCAAAATGGGGAAAGGGGAGCTGCATTAGAATACAGTGCAGTTTAATATACTTGCTTATTGGCTCAGTGTAGCTTCGGAGCCAGGAACCTTCTGTTCAAATGTCCTCTAAGTCATGACCTCACTTCGGCAATTCGCCCTCATCCAAGGCTCAGTGGCTGGGACTCCACATGTGTGTAGCCCCCAGTCGGATACTTAGAACACCACTAACCACTTCAGTGAGGAAGAGAAAACAGGCCGGGGGATTACAATCCATTCGGCATTTCAGCACAACGTGAAACTCTCACCAGTTACCAAACCAAATCGGAATTTCCAGCAACCGAAGGCTTCTGTAAAGATTTCTGCAAAGAGCTCTACCCCCCTGCCCCCCAAGGTCCAGTAAAATAAGAGCTTGGTGGATTGTCCATGTTCTTTGACAATGGCAGGGGTCATTTCCTGCCGGAGCACCCCAGAGCGGCACTCCGGCAGTAAGGTGCCCAGGCCCTGCCCCCGGCCTTTCCCGGCCGCCGGCTGCATGGCACCTGGAAAAGATCGGGCAGGGGAGCCAGGCATGTCTGCTTCCCTGCCCTCCCCCTCTCCAGCCAGCCCACCGCGGCGGGTTGGCTGGAGAGGGGAAGGGGAGGCGGGCAGACATGGCCCCTTTCCCTCTGAGCCTCTCCGCTTTTGCGGAGAAACTCGGAAAGGGAGGGGGATTTAAACTCATTTGCATCTGCCTTAACTCATTTTCTCCTGCCAACCTAGCAGTTTGAAAGCAAGAAATTGCAAGTAGATAAATAGGTACCACTTCGGTGGGAAGGTAACAGCGTTCCATGCGCCTTGGTGTTTAGTCATGCCGGCCACATGACCACGGAAACGTCTTCGGACAGCGCTGGCTCTTTGGCTTTGAAACTGAGATGAGCACCGCAACCCTAGAGTTGGATTCGACTGGCTTTCGAGCAAGGGAGACCTTTACTTTTAATTCATATTAAACATGCATGCCCTTTGTGAGGGGATGTGGCATATGCAAATGAGTTATGCAAATTAGCTCCTGCACATCTTTTTCTAGGAAATGACCCCTGGACAACGGTCATTGTCCTTATTTACACCAGGGGTCGCCAACCTTTTTGAGCCTGCAGGCACCTTTGAAATGCTGATTCAGTGCAGTGGACGCAGCCACAAATGGCTGCCACAGAACTGCTGCTGCAGGAGGCAGAGCCAGTCAGAAAATGGCTGCCCCCAGTTTGCCTTCGGTCATGGAGCGAAGATCCTTGTGCTGTCGTGGCAGCTCCTGTCAAAGCTACGACCAATCAGAAGCCTTGCTGGACAAAAGACCTACCTGGCCCCACCCACTTTAGAAAAACACTTGGCGGCCACCAGGAAAGGTGTACCTGATGTACCTTTTCCTTGTCCCAAGTTTGAAAAGATGTGAAGTGAGCTCTAACCACAGGTTTAGGTAAAGGTAAGGTAAAGGTTTCACTTGCTCGAAAGCCAGTCGAATCTGACTCTAGGAATGCGGTGCTCATCTCCGTTTCCAAGCCAAAGACGTTTCCGTGGTCATGTGGCCGGCATGACTAAAGTCCAAGGCACACGAAACGCTGTTACCTTCCCACCGAAGCGGTACCTATTTATCGACTTGCAATTTCTTGCTTTCAAACTGCTAGGTTGGGCAGGAGCTGGGGCCAGAGATGGGAGCTCACTCCATCATGCAGCACTCGGGTCTCGAACTGCCGAGCCACTGACCTTCCGGTCTGCAGTTCAGCGTCTTAACCACTTGAGCCACCGCATCCCCTACAATCACAGGTTTGCATTTGCAGGAACTTAAAGCAGCTGCAAACTTCTACTAAAGATGAAACTAATTTTGTGTGCGGTAGGCTTGACATCTCTGCAAGGGTGATATTTTACTCGATACATTTTTTAAAAGGCTCTGGAGATGGGATACCCCATGTACCCTGTTTCCCCGAAAATAAGACCTACCCAAAAAATAAGCCCCTGCAGGACTTCTATGCATTTGTGGTATAAGCCCTAGTGTGTCTTCTTGAGAAAAAATAAATACAAGACAGTGTCTTATTTTCGGGGAAACACGGTAGATGCCCCGTGAGCTCCTTGGGGAAAGGGTGGGATTGTTACTGAGTATTGTTACTCAACGTTACGCCCCACCTTTTCCCCAAGGAGCTCAGGGTACACGATATATCCCGTTCCATCTTCACAACAACACCGTGCAGGAGGTTAAGCTGAAATGTGGCAGGCGGAGATTCAAACCCAGGTCACAGAGAATGTCTATGACTTCATGCACACTTGGGCTGAACCCTGGCTTTAAATCCAGGTTCTAACACGAGACGATGGGCTGTCCCAGGGGCACCTGAGATCTACTGTTCCTGATGGGAGCAGATCCTCCCACCTGCTTCCCTTTCCAATAAGAGGTCTTAGTATACACTAGACTGAACTGGAAGTAAGGTTGCCAACTCTGGATTGTGAAATCCCTGGAGATTTGGGGGTACAGCCTAGAGACAGCAGGGTGTGTGGGAGGAGAGGTTATGTCAGCAGGGTATAATGCCACAGAGTCCCCCCCTCCGCATTGGCCATTTTCTCCAGTGGAACTGATTTCTATAGCCTGGAGAGCAGTTGTAATTCAGGGAGATAGCCAAACCCTACCTGGAGGGTTATTATCCCTTGCCTTTTAGCCTTTTGATACTGTCCATGGGGTTTTCTTGGCAAAGATAGTGGAGTGGGTTGCCGTTTCCTTCTCCAGGGGATCACGCTCGGTCTGAGTTCTCTGCTGTGGCCTGTCCGTCTTGGGTGGCCCTCCACGGCATAGCCCACAGCTTCATCGGACCACGCAAGCCCCCTCGCCACGACAAGGCAGTGATCCATGAGTGCCGAAGAATAGATTCTTTTGAGCTATGGTGCTGGAGAAGACTCTTGAGAGTCCCTTGGACTGCAAAAAGATCGAATCAGTCAATCCTAAAAGAAATCAAACCTGACCAAGGCTCCCTCGAAGCTGTGGAGTCCTGTGAACAAAAATTCTACTTGGTGAGCTCCTGGCATTAAAGTTGTGAGCGAGCGATTTGGCTGCTGCATGAATTGGTTTGCTCTGGAACCATCCTTCCTGAGCTAAGACAAAAATCTGTGAGCCAGAGGCTAAAAAACTGTGAACTAGCTCACACTAACTCAGCTTAGAGGGAACACTGACCCTGACTGTTCCCTGGAACGCCAGATAATGAAACTGAAGCTCAACTACTTTGGCCACCCAATGAGAAGGGAGCCCTCACTGGAGAAGACCCTGATGCTGGGAAAGACTGAAGGTCAAGAAGACGGGGACGGCAAAGGATGAGATGGTTAGACAGTGTCACAGATGCAACGAACATGAAATTGAGCCAACTTCAGAGGACGGCGGAAGACAGGAGGGCCTGGCGTGATCTGGTCCATGGGGTCGCGAAGAGTCGGACTCGACTGTGCGACTGAACAACAACAACAACAACAACAATTCCTTGTCTTTAATTATTAGCCACATTGCTACAATGTCTGGCTGATGTGAAAAATGGATATGCTCTTGTTACTTACCTTCATATCTTTTCTGCTATTAATCCATGAACCACTGTTGGTTTTAAACCTTTTAAATGCTGTTTTACGTTTACATACAAAGCCACCTCAAACGCCTTCTCAGACTAAACGTTTCAGGATTGATATTAACGCTTAATACTACACTGGATTTGCCAGACGCCTTGAATGCACTACAACAATTGGACCACAGTTCCCAAGATGCAACATGATCATGCACACGAGGTCAGTATCGTCAATCAACACTTGCCCACCATGATTAGGGACAGGAGAGAATGCTTGGGAAAGACGGGAGGCTCACCAAGAGAAAGCGGCAGCTATTTACAACTCAAGCCAAGAGAGTTCCCTCTAAGCCTTGGAGTCTTGTGAGCAAAAATTCTACTTTGTGAGCTACCGGCATTAAAGTTGTGAGCAAGTGATTTGGCTACTACATGAATTAGTTTGCTCTGGAGCCCCATCCCTTCCTGAGATGGGACAACAATGTGTGAGCCAGAGGCTAAAAAACTGTGAGCCAGCTCACACTAACTCAGCTTAGAGGGAACACTGGAGGGGGGCTCACCCAAGCACGTCTTACCGCACTGTTCTCCATGTTGTTCTCCCAGCTTTAAGTTGTCGCCTTGATCAGTGTGACTCGGGCACCTGCAAAAAGGCAGAGGAATAGGGTTACCTTGAGGCACATGGTCCCAGCACAATGCAGTCCCTAGAGTGCGGCACTAGGACTTGAGGGACCCACGTTTGGTGTAGTGGTTAAGTGTGCGAACTCTAATCTGGGAGAACCGGGTTTGATTCCCCACTCCTCCACATACAGCCAGCTGGTGTGACCGTGGGTCAGTCACAAGCTCTGGCACAGCTGTCCTTGACAAAGAGCAGTTTGTGTAAGAGCTCAGCCCCACCCACCTCACAGGGTGTCTGTTGTGGGGAGGGGAAGGGAGAGGAGTTTGTAAGCTGCTCTGAGACTCCAAGTGAAGGGCGGGGTATAAATCCAATCTCTTCTTCTTCTTCTTCTTCAAGTTCGAATCCCCACTCTGCCATGGACTGGGTGACCTTGGGCCAGTCGCTTTCTCGGCCTAAGCTACTTGGATTGCTGCTGAGAGGATAAAACAGAAGAGGGGATGTCGAGGAGAGAGAGTGAAAATAATTTCCAGAGCTGTTTGAATTCTTTATTGTATAATTGCAGTTCTCCAGGATCTAAGGCGGTAGGTGTCCCCCGTCCCCCCAGCCTTGCAAGTAGAGATCGTTTTCAGTGGAGGAGCTGGGGATTGAACCTGGGTCCTTCTATGGGCAAAGCATGTGCAAACCGGCCTAAGGACATCCCAGGGTTGACGATGTGTCTTCTATCAGGCCCTGTTATTTATATGCCATCTTTCCAGAAAATATTCCGCCACGGCAACTTGCAAGAGAACGAAAACAGTATAAAACAGGCAGCGCAAATCAACACAATGAAAAAGCAGCCAATCAAAAACAACAATGAAACAATGGAAAAGAGCAAGAGCGCCTTGAAGACTAACAAAATTTGTGGCAGGGTAGGCGTTTTCGTGAGTCACTGTTCACGTCTTCGGATATCAGACTCACAAAAGCTCCTGCCATGCCACAAATTTTAGTCTTCAAGGTGATCCTGGACTCTTGCTCTCGTCTACTGCTACAGACAAACAAGGCTAACCATCTTGAACTAATGATAAAAACAAGACAGGCTGGCAACAGTAAAACAGGAAAGGATCCATAAAAAAACAAGAAAAGTCAGGGTCAGATTACAAAAACAATAAAACTGCCCGTCAAATACAAGAGTCCAAAAATGACATTGAGGAGTGGTTCTCAATCTGTAGCACCCTGCAGACCAGGGTTTTTTTTAATTTTTAAATGTTCATGGCTTCCCCCAAGCTCACCACTTTATTCTCTCACTGGCATTTGGCAGGCAGTCCTTTTTCAAAGAGCACGCAGCAAGCCACATATGCCCAAGAAAGGCATCATCTAGCATCCTCGGAACAGTACTCTGATATCCTTATCAGCTACATGTCAAAAGCAAGTTAAGAAAAAAATGTTATTGTTTGTGCAAGGTCAAGCACAGGAACCAGCTGATTCTATAGCACCACAAGTCAAAACCCCGCGTTCTACTCCGTCCCAGTCCTTGACTGGAAGGGGTTTTGTGCAGGAGAGACAGCAAGATTCTTCCTTATCGGTTGATAAGTTCTAGCTAGAGGCCAGCAGAACTGGCTGGGAAGGGGTCTAGAAAAAATGTCAGAGAGCTCCTGACAGAAACAGAAAGAGACAAGCATCACACGAAATCTGAACTTCTGATAACACTGAAAATTGCCATTAGCTAGCAGTTCGAAAGCAAGAAATTGCAAGTAGATAAATAGGGACCACTTCGGTGGGAAGGTAACAGCGTTCCGTGCGCCCTGGTGTTTAGTCATGCCGGCCACATGACCACGGAAACGTCTTCGGACAGCGCTGGCTCTTCGGCTTGGAAACGGAGATGAGCACCGCAACCCTAGAGTTGGACTCGACTGGCTTTCGAGCAAGGGAACCTTTACCTTTACCTTTATTATATACGCACATTTTGCTGCAAATTACACTCTTAAGCACGGTATGTTTCCCTCAAGCTTCTGCACAGCATCGTCATTTGTTTGATCTAAAAATCAGGTGACCACAGGCAGAGGTCGATGTATGAACTCTCACCCTTTGACAGGAGGAGGATCTGATTCTTGTGGGCTCAGTTTTCACGTCAGCTGAATGGGGGACAAGAGGCGCTTGCCCTCTGTCCTTCCAAAAAACTTGCGGACCCCCTTTACTTTAATTAGACTGCTCTGACAGCCAGTTCAGCTCTGAACAGTGTCACACTAAGACTAAAAAGAGAAAGAAATGTATTTAATACACGTGTCTAGGTAATATAAAAATGTAATGATTTTTAAATCGACTGAGAAAAGAACTAGGCAACTGACAATGTAATATTATAACCCACCCCTGCTAAAAGTAACTCAAATCATCCAGTTCACACCTAGAGTCCTGGGTATAAGGTTTTATCCAACTAACTCTTGCCTCGTGTTAAGCAAATCACAGTCGAACAGGAGGTGTTGAAGGGTCTCTATTTGGCCAACATCGCATTGGCACAGTCGCTCAGAGTAAGGCACCTTATTTAAGCGTCCCTGGCCCCGGTCACACGGGAGGTTTAGGGAAGGAAGAGGGACGGATCGGGGGCGCAGCAAACGGGCGCGATCAAACCGCAACATCTGGGAAGCGGCACACACCCGTCCCTGATCCAGCCCTTCAGGCCGAAAATACGCATAAAAAAAAGAACCTGCTAAAGAGCAGGACTTACCTAAAACGCCGCAGCAGGCGCGGCCGTCGGATCGCCGGCGCGGCCGTCTGCAGGAGCAATCGAGGCTCCCAGCCGAACTGCGCATGGGCACACATGCGCAGCCGGCGGCCTCGCGCTCCCTTCCGTGGCTTTCTCCCTGGCATCTGACCGTGCCAGGGAGCAACTGCGCGACGGCTCACGGGATCTGTGTGATCCCGCCGCCGCGTGTCTTCTTTTGGTGCGGCTTTCAAAAGCCGCACTTTGCCCGCATCAATTTCCCCCCGTGTGGCAGCTCCCCTGATGGAATAGCATCCAATCTAGCCAGCATAAATAATCATCTGTAACCTGGAACTGTCAGGAAATCAAAACAGGCTGGAAGAGATTGTGGTAACATTAAACCTAAATGTAAAGGTGAGCATACTCTGCTGTGCTCTTATCATGGTACTTCTAGTATCCAATTGTTCCAGACAGCATAAGATTGAAGAGACCGCAGCTGAAGGCCCTTGTTGTTTCAGATCACAAGGGAAGATTCCTAGAGTCCAGATACGACTTTCAACCAATGTGCCCCACGGGCTTTGGTAAGAGCCGGCTTGCAATGTAAATATCCATTTGACTCTGTGGGGAATAAAATCTTGACCCAGAATCTAAAGGTTGCAGCCCAGATCCGAGCTTCGACTTATGGACCTCATGAAATACCCTCACAGACCCTCCAGGGTTTCCTGAACCCCAGTACAAAGAAACAGTTGTGTGGAAGCCATTAGGATAGACAACGCAATATTAACATGAGTAAAAGTATTAAAACGTGGCGAGGAAAAGATGAGCAAGAAGACTAAAAGCCTGGGCGAATAAATCCAGCATCTCTCGGCCAAAATGGATGCTGTTTTATTTTATCCTGTACAGTTGCTATGGCTTTTTTGCTAATGCAATAAATATTATTATTATT